GATTTTCATCACTCCAAATGCAACAATTTTGTTTTTTAACGTACATATTCAACCACACATCTTCGGAGGGAGTCGTTTTCGTCCAAACACTGGGTCTGGAAAGAGCCTTTACACCACTGATCCGAAAATAAGTTCTCCATCAACAGACTATAAACTCTAATATTAACAGAATATGGGGACCACTTTCCCTATTGAATAGCAATAAAGATTCAACGGCTTACTTGCTCAACAGAATCCCTGATTCACCAACTTAATTGCTTAATTAACTCATTTCGAAATTACTTAAGATTGGCAATTCAGAGAAATCGTTAACAACTCTATAAACGAATTTAACTTGACATCGAAATGAAAGAAAAAACCGAGTAAAGTGAAATAATACAGAAGAAATCAGAACTCTTTATGGTGACGGAAGAGGAAAAGAACGAAGAAGAAGAACAAGAGTATTTAAGAGTCCAGCAACCCACAAGAAACAAGGAAGCGCAATCAACGATGCCACCTGAGACCAAAGTACATACATAACATCGAAAAAAAACACAATACTGATAAGCAAACCGCAACAAATGGCAACAGTGGCAATAATAACAATAACAACAATATAGAGAAACGGAAAACATGACTTAAATACAAGCAGCGCATATCAATAGTCTCAAAGGAACTCCTTAACATTATTGCCATTGTCAACTTGTTGGAGGAGTAAGCAAAAAATACAACAACAAAGAAAAACAGCGATTACATAAACAACGTAGAATTAAATAAGAAAAATTAAATGCGCACAATAAAAGTGTGTAAATGAGGCAATGAGCAAGCAACCGAGCCGGCGATTGCGGGCAACAAAATTAACATAACTGCAGCGGCAGTCTTTCCGTCAACGCGTCAACCCGTGAGCCCGTGAGCTCAAGAGCCAGCGGCATAAAAGTCAATGCGCTAATGATATCAATGACCAAACCGAGCACCTTCCGCGGGCGGCGCCGATCAGCTGCAGCGCGGCGGCACTTGGCGACAGCTGATGCCGTTGCTGCCACACCGCCACACAGCGGCAGTTGTCCAAATGTCCTTGCGCGTAAATTCTTAAAATAGCATACATAATATCAGGTAGCGAATTCCGGACCAAAGCGTACAAATTAAATGTGTGCGCAGCGGCCAAAAATGGTGCTTGGTGAATGGTGAATGGAGCAGTAAGCGCTGGGCGATTGTATTGCTTGGCGCTTGCGGCTCATTGCTTTTATTTTATTATTTATTGCTGTTGTTGTTGTTGCATTGGGGAAAATTTATTTTTATTTAATTTCTGTTGTGGTCACATATGTGCGGCTTAATGATTTCATTTAATTTCATTGGCGCCCCGAAAAAGTTACGACAAGAGCTAAAACGGCGGCGCGTATGTGACAAAGCCGTGAGGCCTATTGCCTAGCATATAGGTACAGATGTACATATGAACACCTGTACATACTGGTACGCATTGCGGGTTTCATTAGCGTTCGAGCGCTTTGCATCATCGATCGCCGTTCGTTTTGCTAATTGATTGTTTAAGTTGTGATCAAAAATGTCCGATAAAGCGCGTTGCAGCGCGCCACACAAGCGCATGCCTCAGATAGAGCGGTGCGTACACAGACCACATGGAATTGTAAGCAGCAGTTTTGTGCATAATTAATCGTAAAAGGTGTCTACGAAATGTTTGTGGTTTGGTAGGTCCCGTTGCAACTGACTCATTTACTTTCACTTGTTGTGACACGCAACATTTCATATTTAATTAAATTCAATAAGAATGATTAAACATTTAATTTGAACTGACAACTGACTGAAAGTCGTAGGCAAAGGAATACTTCAGATCTAATAGTAATAGTCTTTGATGCAGAATCGGGGTTCAGAGCAGAAAAAATAGAGAGGTATTATACTTCGACGCTCTAAGGAAGAGTTCGTCTTCGTGTAATTAATAACATACCTCAGAATATGTTAATAATAAATACCTAAATCGCCTATAATTTTAATACAACATTTTACCTGAGTTGCCACCTTATTCAAAAAATTAAAGAAATTTGTTTAGTCGTGTCATTATTTCTTATCAAATACTGCAATATGAACACCGAGTAAAAAATATTCGTGAAAACTTTGTGCTGTAAGTGTTTTGGAACATAGTTTCCACCACAAAATAAAATGTGTTCTTGAGAAATATAATATTATCGAAGTTGTATACTGGAGTTGATTTAGCTCCAATGTATCAAAGTTATTATCAAAAGCAGCTAGTATGTGAACCAGTGGAGGTCTAAGAACAACGACAAGACCGGCACTGCCCACAGACTCGCTCTGTAAGCAACTGGCAGTGAAGTCAGCACTTCCATTGAGGGAATCCTCCCTATTAGTCGTATGTAATAAGATACTTAGTATGTTACCGTTTCTATCCAATACCACTCATTTTCGAAATCCTATAGATTTTAACTTAAATTCGGTCCCCAATACTTCCCTTCCAGTGGAATGGAATAGGGGTGAGAGTTTTAATGCCAGAATCGCCTTCCGACTACAACAAGATATGTATTTATACAGGGTTTTCCAAAAAGAGTGATATGATTTAAACAAAAAACACACAAATTTTTAAGGAAATTCAAATGTTTTCTTCTTCTCTTGTAACGAATTCGATGAACCCCATTTTCGAGTACTTTTCCACTAAATCAAGTCGTATGTCATGAATAGCACGTTCAATATTGACTTCTAAAACTCGAAGAGAGTCTGGTTTATTACTAAAGATCAATGACTTCAAACAACCTCACAAGCAGTAGTCTAATCGTGCTAAATCACAACCTTTTGGAGACCATTCAATATCACAATTTCTTGAAAATATCGAATATCTAAACTTTTCACGCAATAATTCGGTTGTTGCACGGTCTGTGTAGCAATTAGCCTCGTCTTGTTGGAACCAGATGTTGTCAAGATCAACATCTTTTAATTGCGGCCATAAAAAGTTGGTTATCATCGATCTATACCGTTCTCCATTGACAGTAACAGTGTCACCAGCTTCATTTCGAAAGAAATACGGACCGATGATTCCACCAGACCAGAAAATACACCAAACTGTCAAAGGTTTTTCATCAATAATTTTACAATCGAATAACTGAAAAAATTACAATCGAAAGAGTCAAAAGTGTGTTTTCTATTTAATTCCAATCTTGCGTTAATTTTGGGACACCCTCTATATGCCTCTGTCTACTTGAATATATGGAGACTACTGTATTTAGAAGCTGAGGTAGGAGAAGAGGATACTATAGAGCATCTTCTATGTGAATGTAAAGCTTTATATAGAAAAAGAGTCGCAACTATCGACCAAGGGTTTTTAATGTTGCCTCGGAAGTTGCACAGATCTACATCGACTATTGGGAGAAGTCTAAAACGGTGGCAAGGTTCTACTTTGATCGAATTAAGCTACAAACTCATGCCTCATCTCTCGTATTCTCCAGATTTGTGCCCGTATAACTCCTTTTTGTTTCCAAACTCGAAGATATGTTTGGCCGATGGTGTATATCATCATCCACTTGTGATGTACTTCTCTCCCCATTGGATAATGGTCAAACACTCTGGTTCGGTTCCCAGGAGCTACAATTCCTTATCAATGTATAAGGTTCTTTCCATTTCACTAACATGAGTACTAGTATACAGAAATACATAAAACTGCAGTTCGAAAGCTTTATCCTTGACCTATGAAACTCAATGCCGTGCTGCATATAGCACCGGTGGGCATAGCCGGAAGGTGTATGGACGCGAAAGCTGCTCTCAGACAAAGGAAATTTAGGTACTTAGATGACTGCGGGCCGGGGCACTCTAGAATTCTCACACACATTGATTGCATTCCAAAATACTTGCATTACCAGGTCGCCGATAGTAGTCATTTGTTGTTGTTTCTCTGCTCACATATGTTCCTCCTAGTGGGACATGAGAGGGAAGGGCTCGCAGGTGGAGAAGGGCGGTGAACTTTTTTATCAATGGATGAAGGCTTGCGGGGAGGATTGGTGCATAAGTATAATGCCGGGAATAATCCATCAGCTCCAGTTTTAGGCTTCCTGACCACTGCAACGTCTTCCAAACGAGAGTGGCTGCCCATAAAAGTAGCAGTAGATCTACTGCTCTTGAGTGTAGCCTTGCTCAAGATACACTCCCATAGTAGGGCAGAGATGTTAGCCTTGAGCTGACTGTGCGCTCATGACAAGTGAAGTGACGTCTAGACTCCTTATCTCTGAGTTACTACATGATTCGACTGCAAGGCTGAAGAGCTTGCTGAGATAGATATTGCGGTACTCAATAACTGCGGAATGGGAACGGGTAGGAGCTCCGTTGCTTTCTTGCAGTTCGTCCTTGTTGCCCAGGATAAATCGTAAGAGGTCTAGTGAACTCTTTGCTGTCAGTAAAGTTCACTTGACACTGTCCAAACGCAATTTATGGATACCAGTTGCAATAGCTGATTGTAAAAAGAGGAGATAAAATCATAACAACACTTCCTCCTCGAATGTCCCGCCTTTACCAGATCAGTCAAAAACACCTCAGATCTCATATTTTGAGACTCCTTATGAAAAAGCGTAAATAGAAATAAGGCACCTGAGCAGATTTGTAATAGATTCTGAGCGCTTTGCCGATAGCTGATGTCCAACAAGAGGAGTTTTTCATTTGACTTCACAAAGGACTACACATAACAGTCTCAGTGTGATCTCCCGCTAACCTAACCTACCCTTGTTAGATAAATATTTCTAAATGTTCAAAATGATTACGAAGTTTATGACCCTGTGGTTTAGCCTAATGAAACTCGGGTACTCGAATTTCTATTATTAATGTTTCCAGGGATTTTATTCAGTTTAATTCTCAAAGCTAACGTTAGCCTAGGCTGTAAAGCAGCATGGCATTCTTTCCGGCTGTTTAAATAAAATTTAGCTGCACATTCTCTTTTCCTTACCAAATTTAAATTTATGTTCTTTGCAGACAACAACAATTTGGAAGTTTTTTAGTTTTAATAAAAGAAATTGTTCCACCACAGCCTTCAACTTTATTAAATGTAAAATCAATTTCAACTTTACACAGAAATTCGTACATGCATATGTACATATTTGATGAATAAAAACTAAGTGCCACTACAACAACAACAATTACAACAATGACTACTTGAAATGAAACTATGAGAATTGCATTCGTTCGATAAACCGACTCAGCAGCGAATAAAAGCAATGATCACACACACATACAAACATAAATATCACTCGTACTAAAAGGGCGCGCAGTTGTTGTTGTTGTGAATTGAGAATGAAGGCAAACAGGCGAGAACTGTCATTTGTCTATTTTTAACAGACACAACGACATGAAGGATTTAATTAAATTCAACTTCATTTGACAGCAACGAGAGCAGCAACAGCAAGCAGCATCAGTAACAGCAACAACAACAACCACTCGTGATGACAGCGAAAAAATGCGAACGCACTCAACAACTTGCAACATCCGCCAGTGGCACGAGCCTGGGCACTACATTTGATTTTTGTAGCATTTTCGCCATTTCATTCGCTTTTCTCCTCAACTTCCTCTCTGTTGCGTTCTTCCGTGATAGACACATCCTTTTGGAAGTTTGTTACTAAAGGATAACGGTAGTTAACTGTAATACGTTTCATACAATTTGTTGTGATTGTTTGTAGTTATGTATATGTAAGCACAGAGAAGGAGAGAAGGGGGTGTGGTAAATTGGGTGGGTGGAGAGCGAGGCATGGGTGTGGCGTTGCTCTCAAGTGTTTCAATTGCGTTTTAAATTTTTCGATTGCCAATCGAGATGGCCTCTGTGAGTTGTGAGACAAGTGGCGAGCAAATGAAGTTAGATTATTGCACAATAAAATCGATATATTGATGCGTAGTGAAATTGAAGAATTTTTTATTGACACCATGAACTGTTAAATGTTTAAAATCAATTATTCGTATATACAAGTCGACTAGTGCGTTAGAATCTGCTATCCTTTATCGACTTCCAGTAAAAATTTCATGACATTTCATGACTATTGGAAGTGAAGTTATTGTGTTTTAAGTGTGTCAGTATGTTTTTGTCATCATACACAACAAAGTAGCTAAATATTGTATATACCCAGTTTAAATGCACTATAATATTAGTTAAGAACAAACAATGTTTCACTTATACCAAAATTCGATACCCAAAACTCACAAGTCCCTTTTCTCCATTTATCTCACCATTGCAGGATTCTCATTTCGTATTCGAGGGTTGTTTTGGCAGTTGATTAAATTGAAATTGCAATTGTAACGATACGCCATCAACACCAGTAACGGTAATTGTTAGCAACATTGATATAGGCAACAAAAACAATAGCAACAACATACCATAGAACGGGTACAAATTACAACATCAATGAAATTACTCTTAACACTCGAACAAATGAGCGTCAAATGTGCAATAATATTACCTCGTCATCATTGATTGCGCTTTTCACCGCCGGAGGGGAGGCTTATCTTCTTCTTTTTGTGCCTTTAGCTGTTGTTGTTTAGAGTCGATTGCAAATTGTCGAAAATTTAATTAAATCCATAAGTGAGAGTTGACTAGCAGGTGGTGGGTTTAAGTGATGGCATCATCATCAGCAGCAGCAGCGGCCGAGACGCCGACTTTGGCAACAAAAAATTAAGTATTTCTAATTAAATTGACAAACTTGCATTAACAATGACAGAGCTTTATACTATGTTACAAGAAAATGTGTGTAAATACATTTACGCTCCGACTACACCGTAGAATATTAGTTCCGTAACAGACGTATCTTCATTTTTACCGTCATCAATTCGCTATTTCTCTGCTAGCTAATTTTAAGCTCTCTTGTCAAAAAAAATTTACAGTTACAAGTAACAACTCGCTAAGAGTTGAATTCGGTACAAGAAAGTAGATACATAAGACGATACATATCTCGGTATAACATATATATATATTCTTCAATGTAGAAATAATTGTGAATATTTGATGCATTTTTTTTTAGAAGTGGTATAAATGATCAGCGTGATGAGCTGAGTCGAACTAGTCCCTCAGTTTTTGAGATATCGTTCTGCACACGCCCTTTACTCACCAATTGCTGCTCATATTTTGGAACCGCCGTTATCGGACTACTATAGCATATAGCTGACATACAAACTGAGCGATTAATATCAAGTTCTTGTGTGAGAAAATCTTTTATTTGGCGAGATCTCTTTACGAAATTTAACGTGGATTAATATCCAAGCCAACGTTACAATCTCCGAAGGAACTGTTCAGATTGGATTACTATAGCATATAGCTGCCATACAAACTAATCGATCAAACTCAAGTCATTATATGGAAAACTCTATTATTTGAAGAGATCTCTATACAGAATTCGGCACGGTTTATTATCCAAGGCAACGGTACAATCTCCGAGGCAATTCTTCAAATCGAACCACGCAAAATCAAGATAAATATCTTTTTATACCCTTTTATGCTATAAAATACGTACATATATGCGAAGGGCTTCGGTGCCGCCGAAGTCAACGTTATTATTCTTTCTATTAAACGCAATCGCTGAACGTGAGAAAATTTTTTTATAATATAAAATGTATTTTTATTTGACATACTCTTATTAATTAAAATAATATTAAATGTCAATGACAGTACTTCGTATTCACATATTATTTCTACACACACACAAAACTCTTTCATTCACTAAAAATCGTATTCATCGTCATCGTTTGTGAGGTTCAATCGCCTTCCTTTGATACGTTTTGTTGCCGATGTTGGCGTCGTCACATATGAGTCGATCCCATTATGCTCATTTAAAGCTCTATTCGCGCTCGGAGAGCCGTTAATATTTCCATACAGCAACACTTGCTCCACATCTTCTGTATCGGAGACATCCGGCGTATATATGTCATAATATTTAACTCGCTGTTTTCGCTTCTTATGAAGTAATTCTAATTTTAAAGATTTTGCCAACGTAGTCAGTGCGCTAAATTTCGGTGTGTTGTCCATACTCGTAATACTTCCTTATTAAGATAACATTTTCCGTTATTCGCAAGTAATTCGCTTGATGCTGGTCGTGAGTGTTCTAAGCCGCTGCCTCCAGAGATATTCTTTTTATACGCTCCTTAGCACATGCTTCTACCACAAATCCTTAAAAATTTGACAGCGTAAAGCCTTTATCTATTGTCTAAAATAAATTGTTTTGTTCGTCGGCGAGATGATTAAAACATTGACCGAAGTTATTGCTTAATTCTTGGAAGTGTTGCGCAGGTAGTTAGGTTGATAAGTAGTTGTTTTTGTTTTTAAGTGACAGTTCATTGTTTGACTACCCCTGATATTATTCAATATTACATTTCTGCACATATCGAGGCTGAAGTTTTAATCTTATGCAAACAATATTAAAAACTTGGTCTTATGCTACCGTTAGGAAATATCTCTGCATGCTGCAATTATTCCAGCGTTGTTTGCAATCCGCAAAATAGAGGATAACCGCTTTTGAAGGAAACCATTAATCGACTTCATAGTAATTAAATACATAATTTCAACGGAAAGGCTCCGTCATGCAAAGAGTCTAAAAAATCTAAGATCCAATTATTGTAGAAATAGTTCTATAAACCTTCACCAAAGTCAAACATTAAGCCATACAACATTGAGGTTGAGTTTAAGCAAAGTAAAATTATATAATAAAACGATCGACATAAACGTTTCCCCAGTCATTGGACTTATACATACACTTAAAAATCAAGTTGATGTCTCAAATGTGAAAGCATTTGCTCTTAAAACAACAATGATACAGACTTTGAGCGTGACCTGGAAACTCCAAGTACATTGAACGAAAATGAAGATGGACTGCAAGTAAAATCAAGTATAAATTAAGGAAGGAAAGTTTTTGGATTATTGATTATTTCTAATACATTTCTTACGATTCCAACAGAAAGTTCAGGAGTGTGCTGTTTAGGCTACCTGAAAATTGTGGTACCGTAACAATGCTTCAAAATATTGTTCAAAACGCAAAATACAACTTAATGGTAAATCAGAGGTATGTATCTGATATTCAGTATAAATTCCATCAAGGTCCCAAAATTACGAAAAATACTAGCATGAATCCAAATTACTTAATAATTTGCGTACCTTGTAATTCTGAACTGAAGGAAAGCAATTTATTATTTATATATAAAAGAAATCAATACATCTAAAGACTCAATGATAAATTCTATTTCGTCCATAAAAAATTCGTCTTTGTTTGAACAGTAATATGTAGTCTTTGACTTTGGTCTTTGTTATTCAATAATTTTTCATTTTCAGTCGCTTAAAGACTTAGTCATTTAGTTTTCAGGGAAGTCGGTGAGGTTTTTTTATATCCTGGGATAATAAATATGGGGAGTATATTCTATAAATTATTTTCATTCTCAAAATCTCGAGGATTAAATAATTTTTTTAGGTTAATATTTGGTGAACCTAAGAAAAAATATTTATTTTGAGACAAGTGTCGGCATATAATTGGCAGGTTTCCAAGAATGATTAAAACCGCCTTTCAGTAGAATGGATTTTTCGATGATCTGAATTCTGAATTCATGAAGCAATTGGAGCCCGTAAAATTTATCATATCATCTTAAGTGACCATTCAGAACACCTACAATTGCGTCGAGATTGACTTTGCTAAGAGCAGAATTCCGGAGGACCTCTAACGGTTCACTCTGGGTCAGAAGGATTTCAAAACCCTCAAGTTCTGGTTATTAGCCAGTACTTACCAAGCTTTCCGACCAGTTCGTACAGACAGATAGACAGACATGGCTCAATCGACTCAGCTTATTATTAATATATATGTATTGTATATTTTATAAGGTCTCTAACGCTTCCGTCTGGATGTTGCAACTGTTCAAGATATACAAATATTATTTAGCACTGTGTAAGTACAATTAACACTCATGACGCCGCTAAACTGACGTCACTAAACAAGATTTATCTTTAACTTTTGCTTTCAACGAATTTACGAACGAGTTGAATTAATCGGATGTTTCCAAGAACTTTTTAAGCAATAAAGTCTGCAAGAAGTCAAATAATTAGCAGGAAAAGCAAAAGTGCCGCCATAAGTGGTCTCAGGCAAGGCAATTAATGAGAGCACGATCAGTTTCGTTTTTATAAATTAAGTGCAGACTAACATAGCGGTACAACATCTGTTCGACATTGCAAAAACGACATTGATTTACTTCGGTATATTGACCATATGCGTTTACAAATTTCGTAGCGTTTCCGAGGACAACATCAATTAACGACGAAGCATTGTCGCGACAAGTTGCCAACCTTTGTTTTTTTTCTGCAACGTGTTACTAAAATGTAACAACAACAACAATTTCAATAAATTCCATTCAATCGACAATACAACAATGTCTGTAACTGTAGTTCGCTTACTCTTTATATGTGTTGGTGTGTGTGCAAAAATGTCCGATTAAATTGTAACAATTACATGTATTTAGTCATGTTTTTAACAACAACAACAACGATAAACAAGAAGTAACACATTTTAAATTAACAACGTTTTGGTTCCGTTAACAACTTTTGCAGAGCAACAATTGAATCCATATGCATGAGTTTATTTTGGCTTGGTACATGGAACCTCCACTCAATCAGGTATGATGGAAAAAGTGACCAGGAAACAGGTTGTTACATCATGTGAACTCAGATGGTTATGGGCTGAAGAGAGTAAAGCCTCTGACAGTAAGCATAAGAATGGGATGCCGAATGTGTTAAGAAATAAGAAAAAATGTTAAGTTCGGCTGCACCGAAGCCAGAACACCCTTCACAGTTGCAATTTGTATAGCATATAAAAAGTATAACAAGAAAAAACGTTAACTTCGGTTGCACTGAAGCTATAGCACCCTTCACAAATAGAAAGCCCCCCTACAAGCACTTCATTCCGACGGTTAAGTTTGTATGGCAGCTATATGATATGGTGACAAAAAATTATTTTTTTTTGTTCACCTTATTTCTATATTTTCTCAACTCTAAGATCCACTGACAACTTTTTAAGAAGTTGTTATAGGATTGGACCTGAAACAAAAATGTTGGACTATATTTATGTTTCAGTTCGATATTATCATAAGTTCATCATATTCTATTGAATTTCAAAAGAACTATCGAGTGCAGGAAAGTACTTTATCTCAAAAGACTTAGAGCTGCTTTAAAACTCTGAAATATTACTTCAAAACTTTCGATGCTAAGCGAAGCAGAAGGCAAAGTAATTCTTTGTAATGGGGTTTCTTCATTCCTTCCATTAAGAGGGTAGGTAGGTAGGTAGGATAGGTAGGTAGGTGTGCCTTCGGGCTTAATTAACGCAAGATTTCAAAACATTATCATAAGACCTTCATATTGTTGCTATCTCGTTTTATTGTTGCGTTCACACGATTTGTTGCTCACAATGAAAGTACTTATCCCCGTTAAGCGTTTTGTAGACAGACATTCAATGTTTGATGCCTGATGGATTCCATAAGTTTTATCTCGGGTGTGTATATGGTAGATTTCTGAAACCTTCCGTAGTTATTCCGTAAAACTCCACAACCCTTCTCTATGCCTAGTACTTCCGACCCTACTCCGCAGTATATTTTAGACTTGTCGCTATGTATTGATATATGGTAGTATCCTCCTCCCCTACTAAACATCTTTTCCCTTCACGTCTACAGGTTATTCTCACCCAAAAGTGACTATTGAAATATGCCGAACCGTTAGTGTTTCAACCTCAGTCTGGAAAAGGCTAATGACTGTCTAGCTTTTACCAGACTGCCTAGAAGATTCCATCTCGCCCTTCTCCATACAGCTTAGTTGCGAGTCATAACCTCATTAAAAGAGACGTTTTCATAGAAGATCTTACTATATTTAGTTAGGAAGTTTTCAATTTTTTAAGAGTGGTAGAACTAGATCAACACAGGATCTAATGTTTTTATGCTGTCTGATATCTTCATCTCTGTTTTTCTATAAGTCCCAAGAAGATCATTTGATTGAACTTTTTAGGGGAGCTTTTCTAGAAGTGCGATTGCTATAAAAAAAAACTTGTTCCATTACCCCTCCAGGTCCCTCAAAACTCCCATCAAACTTGTATATACCATATGTACAAATACATACAAGTACATATGGACGAGACTATTTACTCTTGGGCATACTTATTAAATCATTACGTCCGCATAGCGAATGTGAAGCGACAAACGAATGCATCTGAAGCATGATTGCAATTAATATTCCAGACCCAACGCTTTGAATGGCGATCAACAAGCGGTACGAGCAACTAATAAATATTGTAGTGGAACAGTAGAACAGTGGGAGCTGTTACCCGCTCGCCACCACATATGGGAATGCACTGATGTACAATACATACATATTTATGAGTACGTAAGTGTGCGTGCGTGAAATTGATGCAAAGTTACGCATAAATACAAGTATATCGCTAAATACATACATATGTGTATGTATATGTATATACATGAAAACATACCAGCAAACCGTTACATTTTGCGTACGCAAGTCAAAAATGCCATTACACCAATGTTTTCTTTCTGCGATAGGGCTGCCAACTCAATTTGAAAATAATTAATATTAGTTAATATAACTTTAACATTTTAGAAAAGTGCCTCAAATTTCAGTTTTCAGTTTAGTTAAGTTTGACTTTGGTCTCAAAATTATTGAAATTTTTGCCTGTTGGCAACACCAATTTTAAACAACACTCACCGTTCACTGCTGCTCAAATTTTATTGGCTCCACATTGTTGTCCAACATCGTTTGCGTCTGCGCATTTGCCAACAAATTTTTATCTTTATTGTGCAAATGTGAATGTTGTTCGATTTACTACTTACTTACTGTTATTTTGTTGCAACTGTTGCAATTTGGATGAAAATACGTCAATCGATTTTAAATTGAATTTAACTGACCGCAAAACAAACTGCATAGCAGATGGAATAATACTTTGAGATATTATATTGACTGTGGGCGTGGCTCTTTTCAACTAAAAAGCACACATATTAAGGTCCCAAATGGACAACTAAAAATACTGCAAAGTATTTAAATACGAGTAGGACATTTGATATTTAAATGGGTCAATTTTTGTTTGATTCAACCTCTTGAGACGTGTTTGGCTAAGCAAAGGATAAACATTTATTCAAAGGAGTGTTAAGCAGCCCTGAAAGGTGCATTGTTATGGATGCTTCTCTGCTCATGGATTTGAGGTTTTAAGATGCTTCATAAAAAACCTGAACGCGGTTAGTATGATAATATCTTATAAAAAGGGTGTATTGAAGTCAGCTGAAATGGTTTACGGCAAAAATAAATATGATTGGATGCTGGAAGAAGACAATATTCCGAAACATAGTAGAAGACTCTGTACTCATTGGAAACAAGAAAACCTTATTGTTATTTCAAATTGGCCATCACAGTCTCCAGACGCCAATCTAATAGAGAATGATGTATTACTGAAAACCTAAATATTATGAAAACATTTATTATATCTCATTCGGCTACTCCAACACACCTGAAGGTCACTTCCTGTGGCAAATGCGGGAATTTTAATTGCAAATTGCCATCAAAGATGTCAGGCTTTAATAGACAACGCGATAGATTGGAATAAGTATTAAATAAACGTCAGCTATTACAACACATCATATCTATTGGAAAACGAAACGTTCTTTTTCGAACGCACGGTATATATGATTTTATAAACATTTCATTAAAACTCAAGTTTAGTGCTACAAGTTTTAACAATTTGTTTCATCAATTTGTTTCAGTTACATGGTGTTCTTGTTGAGTTAACTTAGTCAGATTTGTCGAAGTGCTTTATTTGATAACAAGGAAGAACTTTTTTCCTATTCCGTTCAAATTAGTGGTTCCTAAAAAGATTTGCCTTATCTTGTTCTAACCAAACCTTTGCTAAATATGATTTTCTCCTTCAGCACCATTAAAATTGATATGACCTGGAATATACCATAGATATGAGCATGCCTTGTTTAACCCGAGAGCACCCCCTTGAAGTTCTTAATGACGCTAGAATTAGTGATGACTTAGTCCTT